GGTTACGCTGCCCTGAAGGGGGTGAGAGGCGCCATCCGTTGAAGCGTGGTGATTACATGGGCAGAACGCAACCCTCTGACTGGCAAGGCCCGCCCAGGTGCCCTAGAGTAGCCCAGGTGGGTGGTCTTCCTGCCAAGCCCCGCGTGGTCTGCCCCGCTATCCCCTCAGCCCTGAGCACTCAGTCCCAGGGAGCTCAGCCCCCCCACGACGCTCTCAAAGCTCTCCCTCACCTCCTCTCCTGTTCCTGCCCTGGCCCGCAGAGGGGCCGTCACGACCACCCTGTCTAACTAGTATTCTCTACCCATCACTGTCCATCCGTGGCCTCCCGCGTGAACCCTGTCCATCTGGTTCCGGAATATCCATCGCCTAGAGTGGCAGGTCTCACCCGGGGGCGATTTCGCCCCCCAGAGGACATTGGGCAAGGTCTGGAGTTTGTTTGTCCCAACTGGGGAGGTGCGGCAGGGGTTACTACTGGCATCGAGCGGGTGGACGCCCCCACCATGGAGTGTACAGTCCAAATGCCCATAGTGTCAACGTGAAGGAAGCCCGGCCTGGATACAGAGCAGGGGCCCAACACATACTTGCTACTTGAGGGAATAAGTAATGACTACTGAGGCTCCCGTCCATGGAAATGCCTTTGCGGCTCTCGTGGTACTAATGGTCTTTTCTCAGGATACTAATATTTCACTTCTTTTTTCATTCAACACATATTTAATGAGCACCTACTATGCCACGTGCTCTGTGCTGCGTTTGCAGTGGTGAGTTGGCCACCCCAGCTCTGTCACGACCAGTCACGTGACCTTGGGCAAGTCCCCTGACTTCCCTGGACATCTCTTCCTTGTATGTAAAATGCAAGGATTGCTTTAATTTTTAAAAATAGATTTTTATTGATTTCCGAGAGGAAGGGAATGGGAGAGAGAGATAGAAACATCCATGATGAGAGAGAATCACTGATCAGCTGCCTCCTGCACGCCCCCCACTGGGGATGGAGCCTACAACCCGGGCATGTGCCCTGACTAGGAATCGAATCGTGACCTCTTGGTTCGTAGGTCGATGCCCAACCACTGAGCCGCCGTGGCCGGGCAGGGCTGCTTAGATTTTGAAGCTAGCTTCCAACATGCAAATTCCATGCATTTACAGTGGAACCTCAGTTCTCGAACTTAATTTATTCTAGAAGGCTGTTCGAGAAGCGATTTGTTCAAACACCTAATCATATTTCCCCATTAGAAATCATGTAAATTGAATTAATCCGTTCCAGACCCCCAAATGACTCCCTGGTTTAACCTTTCTTACAGACAGTGCATGTCTAATGGACTGTTCAATCTATAAACAAACACTTCCTTTCTGACATGTATCGAACCACTGGCCTTAAAGGAGTCCCTTTCAGCTCCGGTTCCAGGGGTGTCCTCAGGGCAGCATGCAGCATCCTGGCTCGTTCACACGCTGCTGCCTCCGGAATGCTGGCCCGGCTCCTCGCTTGCCCTTTATCCAAACCAGCAGCAGTGCCCCTGCCTCTGCAGCTGCCTGTGCTCACTGCTCCTTTCACACCCTTAGCAACGCCAGCTCTCTGGGTGGCCTCTGTCTGGATGGCCTCTTTGTGTTTGAAAGTCGTGCTAATTGTGCACTTCGCCGGCAATTTCTCCCCTTTGTCTGTTGCCTGAGAGACGCTTGTTGCCCGCTGAGGCCTCAGCATGAGAGAGCTGTCAGGTGGGAAACCGAAGTTTGGTTCCACAGCCGAGACATACTTTCTGGGAACTTGGTAACAACTTGGTCGAGAACCAAATTGCTTGAGATGAGAGAGGTTCGAGAAACGAGGTCTGACTGTACTTGATCGCAGAGGATCAGTTCCTCTTCAGCATTCTACTTCATACAGTACCATCAGCGCTGATGACAAAAGCTTGGTGATCGGCATGGCCCTCCGCAGGTGACTGGCTCAATAAGGGACCACAGGAGAGGCCACATTGTCAACGTGCTGATGGGGAGCATCTGGAGACAAGGGCCCCTGGGCTCTGGTGGGAACGCTCCTCATTGCAAGACCTCAATCAGAACCCCCCCTACCATGTCCAAAGGGTCTACATTTCCTATCTTTTAAAAAAAAACTTATTCTGATCGTAGGAGCGCCAGCGGTCAAAATAAAGTTCAACCCCTTTGTGACTTCTGACCGGAGCAAGAACCGTAAAAGGCATTTCAATGCACCTTCCCACATTCGAAGGAAGATCATGTCGTCTCCTCTTTCCAAGGAGCTGAGAGAGAAGTACAATGTTCGGTCCATGCCCATCCGAAAGGATGACGAGGTCCAGGTTGTTCGAGGACATTACAAAGGGCAGCAAATTGGCAAAGTAGTCCAGGTTTACAGGAAGAAATACGTCATCTACATTGAACGAGTGCAACGGGAGAAAGCTAATGGGACAACTGTTCACGTGGGCATTCACCCCAGCAAGGTGGTTATCACTAGACTAAAGCTGGACAAAGACCGCAAAAAGATTCTTGAACGTAAAGCCAAATCTCGCCAAGTAGGAAAGGAAAAGGGAAAATACAAGGAAGAAACAATTGAGAAGATGCAGGAATAAAGTAATATTATATACAACTTTCATTAAAAACTTAAAATGAAAAAAAAAAAAAAAAACTTATTCTGAACATCCCCGAGTACACAGACCATTATCCAGAGGAGCCCAATGAAGAGTGCCGATGGACTCAAAAAGTGTCCTATTGGGCCATCTTTGCCTCATCTCATTCTCTTTCCATTCACCGGACCCATCAAAAAGTCTAGTGGTTCTCAAAGTGTGATCCGGGAACCCCTAGGGCCTAGGCAGTCCTCAAGACTCTTTAGGGGGTCCTATGCTGTCAAAGTATTTTATCACAATCTCAAATTATTTACCTCTTCCATTCTGATTCTCTTGTGAGTGTACAGTAGAATTTTCCAGATGCTACATGACATGGGATATTGCAACAGACTGGATGTAGAAACACGTATGAGAATTCATGTCTTTATTTAGCCAGTTGTGAATGAGATCTCCAAACATGGTTTTTTAAAGGTAAGAGCAACTTATTCTCTCATGACACTTCGTCCCTGCCTACTGCAGCATGCATCTCCAAACACAAGGCCACATGCACAGAGAGCAACTCCTGCTGCGTAACGAAGAGCCCCAAAGCACCTCGGCTCACTGCTTCTGTGTTTGCGATCCAGGAGGGCGTAGCTGGGTGCCTGCCGCATCTCATAAAATGTCCAGTAGTTTCCTCCTATCAGCCAATAGGCAGCCACAGAAACACAACCCGATTATAGTGCCTATAACAAATGTCTGTTCAGGCCAGGAGCCAATCAAGAGCTACAAGTTATGCCCAACTGGTGTGGCTCAGTGGATTGAGCATCGTCCCACGCACCATAGAGGTCACTGGTTCGATTCCCAGTTGGACACATGCCTGAGTTGGGGGCTCCATCCCCAGGAGGGGGCGTCCAGGAGGCAGCCGATCTATGTTTCTCTATCATCGATGTTTCTATCTTCTCTCCCTCTCCCTTCCTCTCTCTCTAAGAAGCCAATAAAACTTGTTTTTGTTTTAAAGAGCTACAAGTTATATTTGGTTACTGTCAAGGACTGGACGTGCCTTCTCCCAGTTCATAGATTGCAATGCTCACTCTCAATAGGATGGTTGTCAGGAGCGGGGGTCTTTGGAGGGGGGATCAGGTCATGAAGGGGGGGGATCTCTCTTGAATGGACTAGTGC